CAGTGAGCTGTTTTCTATAATCAGCTGTACTGGACAAAAACAGACAGATCAGTTTTACCCTTATTTGCAGTAGGAGTTGGACTGAATCCAGGGTCAGTTTCCCACCCACATTGCTATTCTCCCCTCCCCTTCACATTTGGGGGAAAAAGCCTCCTCTTGTTGGACCTCTGCGGCAAACGTACAAGTGTTGGACATGCTGGTGAATATTCCAATGAACCATGAAAAGATGTTTGAAATAACTTTGCAAATTTAACATTAGGTGATGCAGAAGATAATAAAAGGAACCAAAGGGGGGATAAAAAGAGGAAGAGAGAGGAAGACCAGTCTAGTCAGAAAGATGGTAACATTTAACAACGTTTGCTCTATTTTTTTAAGAGTTAGACTATTACAGTATTTTGTTACTTTTTTGATATTTATATAGTTAACCCAGGGTATAGTTTTCCTACCCTATAAGCCAGATGAAGAAAAACATCCTTACTGTGCACTTAAAAAAACAAAAACTTGCAAGCTGAAGTAAACAAGAAAGAAATGTTGCATTTTGATGCAGAAATCTACATAAGGTTATGGAAGAAAAGCTTGTTTCTATACAGTTATGAACTAATTTAGTTGACTTAAGCCATGTCCTTCTCAAACAAGTTCATATGTATTGTAGTAATACCTACAGGTGTGAACTGAGACTAGAGGGTCCCATTGACTTGGGCATTGTACAGGCAAATAAGAAGAAACCATTTTCCCTTCTCACCAGCACTTCCAATGAAGTGGAAGTAAAAAGTAGACATTATAAAACTTCAGCTCCCTATTAAAAGGATTTGCCCAAGGTCATAGAAGAAATCTGTGGCAAGATGTCCCCAGTCCCAGTATAGTATCTTAATCACTAATCTAGCCTTCTTTATTGGATATGAAGTAATAAGTATGGAGATGGCTTACAACAGCTTGGGTCTTTTTTCATATATATGAAAAGCTCAAGACCTTGTCCCCACTTTCTCTATCCCAAGCTCTACCCCTCTTTGCAGTGTAATGAGCAATTCTGGGTCTGTCTATGCAGCCCAGTAATGTTTAAATATCCATACATGCCGCTTGCTTGTGTGTGTTTTTGTTTTTTTGTTCC